GTGCTAAAGTGACCGAGCCCAGGGGAATCTCAATCCTGGACCTGTTCATCCCACACTTGGGGTCTTAAGGTCTCTAGAACAGGAGAAAGTAGGTGTTAAATTCTCATGACTCTTCACTGTTTAGGAGAATCCGTCGTCTATCCGTGGTGGGGAGGTGAAGGGTCAAGGCCGTAACCCCGAAGAGACCACTTTTAGAAGAGACACCACGGCTGGGCCTGGGGGCTCACTCCTGTAAGCCCAGCACTTTAGGAGGCCGAGGCAGGAGGATCACTTGAGCACAGACGTTTGAGACCTCATCTCTACAAAAAATAAAAAAATTAGCAAGGCATGGGGGAACATGCCTATAGTCCCAGCTACTTGGGAGACTGAGATCCTCTAAGCATAGGTGGCCGAGGCTATGGTAAACCATGAACACACCACTGCACTCCAGCCTGGGCGCCAGAGTGAGACTCCAGCTCAAAAAGAAAAGAAAAGAAGACACACTCCTTCCATCCCTCGGCATGGTGGTGGTATAACATGTCAAAGCAGAGAAAATGACCCCAAGTCTCCCACCCTGCCTGTCCTGGGCCTCTCTCCACCACCCTCCAGACTCACAAGGTGGGCGTGGGCCCCAGCCTGCTCTCCTTCCTCCTGGCCTTCCTCGGGAATAAGTAACGGTTCTGAGATTACACACCACGGGCAGAACACCCTCAAATAATGTCTTTGTAGCGATGAAAGGCCAGAGCCGGCAGACTGTTGAGTTTGACAGACAATCTGTCTTCATTTCTAAATGTCCCCTAAGAAGAACAAATCTGTCACACTCCGGCCAGCACATTTCCATGGAAGGGAAATAATGAAATCTGACCCAGACGTCAACTCTGACATGTCTTGGAATTTCACAATAGACACAGTGAAGGGAAGGGAGGCCTGGAAACCTTCCTTTCTGGCTGCTCAGCCCCAAAGCCAGCCTTTGTGCATTTTCGTGGAAACGGTCGACACCGATGCCTCCTATGCCTGTGATTCACATCGGAAAAAGTCATCCAGGCCAGAGAGAGGCTGCTCACAGCCAGTGCAGAACAGCCCCCGTGCGCCGGCCTTCAAAGCTGCTGAAGCGAACATCGCAGGGAGGAAATAGAGCACAGCCACATTTTCCAGCCATGTGAAAGCAGAAGGGAGAAGCTCCCGCCCTGGAGGATCCCACCCTGGCAGCCGCCTGGCTCCCACCCCCGCAGGATCCCAACCCTGGCGGCCGCCTGGCTGTTATGGGGCCTGCCGCCAGATGCCAAGCCTCAGCACCGGCAGGACCTCCTTGATTGCAGGATGTCCCAGAATGAGCTTCCCTCCCTGCCCCAACAACGCCCAGCAAGTTTCCCAGTGCCAGGGGATTGGGACGGGGGGTCCTAATACCCTGTGCTTTCCAGCAGGAAACAGTAACACAAAGAGAACTCACCAAGAACCGGGCCCGAGTCAAACACTTCATGTCCATTTTAAACATGTCATTCATATAAGGTATACTACCTGCATTTTACTAATGAGGAAACTGAGGCTGACTTTTCCCACTTAAAAACAAGCCAAGCCAGGCATGGTGGCTGATGCCTGTAATCCCAGCATTTGGGGAGGCCAGGGTGAGAGGACTGCTTGAGCCTAGAAGTTCAAGACCAGTCTAGGCAACACAGTGAGACCATCGCCACACAAAGTTTAGCTGGGCATGTGGGCACATGCCTGTAGTCCCAGAACTCGGGTGAGAGGATCACCTGAGTCCAGCAGTTCGAGGATGAGGTGAGCTATGATTACGCCACTACATCCCAGCCTGGGCGACAGAGATCCCGACTCAAAACAAACCAAATCAACACACAAAGCTTCGCAGACAAACGCCGGAATGGCTGTGGCCCTTTGCACTCAGAATGCCTTCTATTATCACCTGACAAAGCCTGCTGGAATACGTTTCCGCTCAGAATGCGTCTGCTATGGAAATAAGACACAAAGGGACAGGGATGTCGGCTTCCAAGCGCTCCCAATTCTGGAAGCAAATGTTACCGCACCAGCAAGACTCAGACACGGGTCAGCTGCCCTGTCCCTCCGCCCCTCCCGTCCCCACAGGCAGAGAGTCCGGGGCATGCCCCTTTCTCGCCAAGAGGCTTTCCAGCTTTCCCCTCCCCCGTCGGCGGTTCTTGCAGAGTGCTGGGGCTTGGGCTGCCTCGGTCTCCAAGGGAATGGATGATTTATGTCCTTTTATTCAGCAACAGCTTTGTACAGGATGGATGCCACTGAATGTCGGCAGGTGGGGGAAGGGAGCCGTGTAGCAATAAAGTCTTCCAGGCCTGGGCAAAATGGCACCTGGCAACCTGGTGTGTGTGTGTGTGTGTGTGTGTGTGTGTGTGTGTGTGTGTGTGTGTGTGTGTGTGTGTGTGTGTGGCAAAATGGCACCTGGCAACCTGGTGTGTGTGTGTGTGTGTGTGTGTGTGTGTGTGTGTGTGTGTGTGTTTTCTCTGGTGGGAATAAGGAACAGGAAGTGGGGACATCTGGTTGACCCATGGATGTCCTGCTGGAGAATAAGTCTGCGGGGACATCTGGTCGATCCCGAGGAGGGGTGATTCTGACTGGAGTCCACGTTCCCCCTTCTCCTCCCTTCCCACCGGCACCTGGTCTTGTCAGTTCCTTGAAACCGTGAGTCATTCCTCTTCCCACTCCCCGTCCTGGCAGAATGCTCAGCACAGCCCTGTGCTCTGGACACAGTAGGCATTCCGTGTTTGTTGAATGACTAATGAATAGCCATCTCATTCCCCCACAAACTCTGGCACCTCAGCTTGCCCTGGGGCTTGCAGGCTGCCCTGGGCCTCCTTGGCACGATGCCAGCCTGCTACAGCTGCAGCAACACATGGGAAAGATGATGGAGTTGCAGGATTTAGGGGACCTGTGAGATCACACTGCCCAACCCTCTCATTTTACAGATGAGGACACTGAGGCATAGAGAAAAGTGTCCTGCCAAAGCTACCCAGCACGTAGGAGCAGAGCAGCGTTGGAATCCTGCCCTCTCACCCAGGACCCGCCATGCCTCCTGTCCTACCACAGAAGAGGCCTGCTCCCACCCCCAGCCCGACCCCCAGCTCGGGCTAGCCCAGCCCCCTCCCCAGCACAGGCTACCACTCAGCCTCCACCCACGTGCCCGGTGTCCCGGGGAGGACGGTGATGAGGGCCCCCGTGCTGCTCAGCATGACCTAGGCTGCAGGAAGACGGTGCTCCCAGCACTCCTGATCAGTGTGGGCCCAGCAGGTTAGAATTCAGAATTCCAGGGCCCCACGGGGACCGGGGAAGGCGAGAAAACAGACCACTGTCAGAGTCAGCGCTGCCCCAGAGCAGGGACAAAGTAGGCCATCCCGGGGTGAGTGTTGGGAAGAGCTCACCTTGGGGGGAAAGGAGCAAGGCTACAGCGCAGAAGAAGGCTGGGAGGTAAGCTACTGAAGGAAAGAAAGCAGGAGGGCGGAAATGGTGGAGGGGACTGGTTCTCTTTCTGCATCCCTGGATGCACCCTGGATCCCGGCATTCCCTCTTCAGGGTGTCCTCACAGGGTACCCCACCCAGCCAGGGGTGGCAAAGGGAAAGGGGAGTGAAAGGGGGAGGAGAAAGGGAGTGAGAGGGAAGCATGGCCTCCAAGGCCCTCAAAGCGTCTCAACCACCCAGGGACGACAGATCATCAGAAGCCACTGAGAGACAGAGGCGAGAACTCGTGTCTGCCCAACTGAGGTGACACAGGGATTCAGAGTCTCCTAGAGGGGTCCAAGCCCTTCCTCTCGCCACTGCACTCGGTCAGACAGGCACCACACCAGGGAGTTCAGAAATGGGACGGGTTTCAGAGGGCACCACTCCACAGGCATTGAAACGCAGGCCCAGAGGGCAGGAACGTCTTGACCTAGTGACACGGCATCAAGACAGCCCCCAGACGGAAGTCAGATCTCGGAGCTCCCACACAGGAACACTGACCACACCCACGGCAGGGTGACTCTTTGAGCTTCCCAGCCCTCGGTAGTGGGTCCTCGCGGCTCCAGGGACAAGTCCAAAAGGGAAAGGCTCTCCCAGGACCTCTGGGGAAACACTTCTGCGGACCATCCCCAAGGAGAAAGATGGGCGAGATGGTGGGGAGGGTCCCCACAGAATGGCAACCTTCAGGAAGGAAGCGAGCTTAGTGGGCCTCATGGAAGTCAAAAGAGCACGGGGAGTGTGGGCTGGAGTAGACTGCCTGGGGCCTTGGCCCAGCCCACTTTCCCAGGGGAGGAGGGCCACAAGGCCCAGTTCACGGCCCCAGAGGAGACCCCTGCCCTGCCACTTGAGAAGGAGCTGGTGTGACACACCATCAAGGCTGTCCACGCCGTCAAGGCTGAGCCCTGGCAGAGGCCGCCCCCTCACTGCCCCCACCCCACCAACCACTGGACGTTCAAACCAATTTCTTTGGTTGCTGTGACACTGTTAGTTATCTTTACGGAATCGTAATACTTTGTAGCTCTAAAACCCTCATCTAGCCTCTTCCGCTTCATGTTTTGCCTCCACTGATATGAAAATGAGCCTTGTGGTGGAGGTGGGTCCTGGGGGGGCTGTTGGCCAGGCAGAGAGGGGTCCCTGGTGTTGGCTCAGCCCTGAAAGGTGGCAGGGAGGAAGGGCCGATCGCCTCCTTCGACCCTGTCCGTGCGTATTCCTGGTGCCTTGGGAAGAGGCTGCCGGAGCACCCTCCATCCATGACTCTCAGGGGAGTGAGGCAGGAGCGGGGGAGGCAGCAGCTCAGTCCACTGGGGTAAAGAACCTGAGACCTGGCCCCTATGGCCAATCAGGAAGCTGCTAGGACCGGAGCAAGGCGTTCTCCAAGGAAATCACCGAGATTTAGATTTAGAGATCCCGGCTGCGGTCCCAGGAGAACCCAGGCAGGGGACATGGGCAGCGTGGAAGGAGAGGAGCCGGAGCACGGGGTACTGGCTCCAACACAGGGCGTGGAAGGGGGAAGGGAGGGGGCCCGAGCTCAGGGCACTCACTCCAGCACGTCGCGGTTGAACTGCTTCTTGTTGTTGCCCAGGAACTCTCCGATCATCTGGCGGCTGAGGCCCTTACGTTGGAGCAGGAAATGGGCCACACCGATGGGGGTGTCGGGGATGAAGCCGCGCGAGATCAGGAACTGGATGCCCTTGTCGGGGTTTCTGGAGGCGGGGCGGGGAGAAGCGGGAGAGAGTGAGCCCAGGCCACCCGGGGTTTCTTTCCTCACTGTATCCCTGACCACAAAATGCAGAGGCCCTGAGAAGCCTCAACCCCTAACCCCAACCCTAACCCTGAACCTCCTCACAGAGGATGGCGTGGGAAGGCGGGAGGGACTCTGGTGCAAGCAAAGTGAATTCCAGGGCAGGTGGAAACGTCCCTTCTCTTCCCTGCCTCGCAGGCTCTGCCCCAGGCCTAAAGAGGCCCTTCCCCTGACTATATCCTGTTGTCCGTATGCAGGTCTTCAACCTAGAACGCCCCATGCCCCCTCCTTCCTGCAAGGCAGACATGAGAACCCCACTCTCTCGTTCACTTTTCCGGGCCGGAGTCTCTAGTTGCAAGTGTGGGTGCTGAATCTGAAGACAGACGAGCTCCCAAGGCGCTCTGCAAACCCATGCTGTTCCCTGAGCCGTGTCTTACTGGCCCAGGAGGAGATAAGTACAGAAATAGAGGGTAGCATTTAGAACCTTTTATAGCACTTTGACACTTCCGGGACAACCAGGCATGTGATTGTTTTTCTAGCAATTCATTTTTATTGTCTTTTACAAAGGCATCAGCCCACAGCATGCTGCGGGGAGCAACCTAACTGGTCCCTGACTACGGACCACTTGAGAATTGCTGTCTTGGGGGAGACGAGTGTCTGTGCGAGTTTCGTGTGCACACAGAAGCAATGCGGTGGGTATGGGAGGCTGAGGGAGCACCCACCTGACCTAGAGGAAAGATCGATGGATTTGAAGTCCGACAGGTTGGGCTCCGCCCAGGGCTGCTGGGTACTAGCTGTTTAAACTTGGGCGACTCGCCTTGCTAGTGTGGGCTTGTTTCCCTTGCTGTGAAACAGCAGTCATACCTACGTCTGGATATTGCTGGGAAGACGGCAGACGCGTCACATAAGGTGAGTTATGAACAGTCGTTCTTCCCCTAGGACATGAACCTCTTGACCCCAGGGGATGTGCCCTACTCATTTTGGTGCCTGGCGCTCAATAAATAACAGTTGAACCACTAAACGGACACACGTGGTAGGAGGGATGTCATGCTCTTGGCTCAGAGTCAGGAAGGAAGAGGTGGATGGAGGGTGGAGATGAGTGCCTCATGGACCGCACATGGGAGAAGCAAGTGCGCTTCCTCTACTTGGCACCAGCGGTATACCTCCCGGCTGCGGGACTGGCCTGGCTGATGTCTCTGAGCTGTGGCAATCAGTCATTTCTGTCCTGCCATTCCCCCGTTCCTTCTCTCCTCGGCCTCTACCTACTTCATATATATTCCCTTCCCTGCCTCCCTCTCCTCCTCAGACCCCTCCCCTCTCCTGCTTTCTACCTGTATTCTTTCTTTCTTGAGTCGGGGTCTCACTCTGTCACCCAGGCTGGAGGGGGGTGGCATGATCACTACTATCACAGCGATCACGGCTCACAGCAGCCTGGACCTCCTGGGCTCAGACGACCCTTCCACCTCAGCTTCCCCAGTAGCTGGGACTACAGGCTCACACCACCACGCCCGGCTATTTTATTTTTATTTTTTGCTGAGACGAAGTCTCTCTATGGTGCCCAGGCTGGTCGCAAACTCCTGGACTCAGGCGACCCTCCCGCCTTGGCCTCCCCGAGTGCTGGGATCGAAGGCATGAGCCCCCACGCACGACCCCTACCTGTATGCTTCCCAGCGTGTGGCTGTCTCTGCCGACTCCCTCACCCACGCCCTCGTCTCGCCAGCCCCACGAAAGGACGGGGCTTCCCTGACTTCAAATCCTTCCCCAGTGATTTCTGCTCAGTCCTCACACTGCCTGTACTACGACTGGCTTGATGCCGTCTTTTCTTTTAAATTCTCTCTTTTCAAGCCCGAGCTTCGTCTTAAGCAGTAACGGTTGTGAAAACGAGTGTGACGGGCTCTTTTCTCCCCCATCCTTCTTAAAATAAACCCAGAAAGATTAAAAATAAAACCCGTACTTCCTCAGCACGATCTCGGGGATCCGGCGCGGCGCAGAGGCTGCCGGGAGGGGCCGGGACG